GTCCGGGTCTGTCTCTTGGCCATTGCTGCTGGACAAGGACCCTTCGCTGACCCAGGCACACACCCTGCTGTCCCCACCAGTGGCCATGCCAGGGCAGGGCCAGGTTTTGCTCACCGCCCTGTCCCTAGCACGGGCAATCCCTGCAAACAGGCGCCTGCCGAGTTCGCTGAGGAAGGAAGGACTGGGAGGCGGTGGGTTCTCCGGGGGAGGGGACCCAGCCCTGCCCTGTCTGCTGCCAGTGGGCCTCGGTCACAGGCCAGGCGTGCTGGGACAGGGGCCCGCTGGACCTCACGGCCCCGAGCTGGACCCCAGCCCTGCTGCTCCCCTTCCCGGCTGTGTGACGTGAGGGTCATGTCCCCTCTCCCAGCCTCGTTCCTCGCCATGAGATCGGGCGGTGGCACGGATTCCCTGAGGCCATGCGCAGGCGGCCACAAACACCCCAGCAGCCCACCTACCCCACACCCACCCGCCCGGGAGCAGCCACGAACAGGACACCCCCTGCCCTGGAGCAGCCACGAACAGGACCCCCCCTGCCCTGGAGCAGCCACGAACAGGACACCCCCTGCCCTGGAGCAGCCACGAACAGGACACCCCCTGCCCGGGAGGCAGCCACGAACAGGACACCCCCTGCCCGGGAGGCAGCCACGAACTGCCTTGGGAGCAGCCACGAACAGGACACCCCCTGCCTTGGGAGCAGCCACGAACAGGACACCCCCTGCCTTGGGAGCAGCCACGAACAGGACACCCCCTGCCCGGGAGGCAGCCACGACAGGACACCCCCTGCCCGGGAGGCAGCCACGAACAGGACACCCCCTGCCCTGGAGCAGCCACGAACAGGACACCCCCCACCCAGGAGCAGCCACGAACAGGACACCCCCCGCCCGGGAGGCAGCCAAGAACAGGACACCCCCCGCCCGGGAGGCAGCCACGAACAGGACACCCCCCGCCCGGGAGCTGGCGCACAGCGATGGGGACAGAGCAAGGCAGGCGACAGGGCATCTCGTAAAGGAGACGCAGCAGGGTGAGGTGCCCGCTACTCCCAGCAACCCGCTATTGTCACTGTCACCTTTGTCACACCAGTGTGTTACAGTACCATCAGGGACACTGCGGGGTGTTGGGTCTGATGCGGGGTGTTGGGTCTGATGCGGGCTGGTCTCTCTGTGCATGGGGGAACAGGGGTGGCCGGCGGGGCTGGTGCTCCAAGCCCGTGGTCGGCACTGCACTTGGACCAGGAGAAAGTGTCGTCCTGCTCCCTGGAGGGTGTCCGGGGCACGGCCCCCTGGGGGACAGCCAGCCGTGGGGAAGCTCCCAGGCGGCAGGAGGGGGTGGCTGCAGGCCGAAGGGGCAGGGCCACGCTCAGTGTCCGAGGGCAGGGGCCCCCGGAGGGCAGAGACCCTGGCCGAGCGTTCGGAGCTGCCCGGGGCCGTGAGAGGCTGGGCTGTGAGGGGCGCGGGCAGAGGGCAGAACGGCCAGAGACAGGGGCTCAGTGGGCAGCGCTGTCGTTGGGAAGAAGAGGGGAGCCTGGGTGGGGCCTGGGGACGGCCGGGACTATCTGCTGCCCAGGGCAGGCAAGAGGGGCCCTGAGCAGCTGCCAGGTTGCCAGAGGACAGAGCCGGCTGGGGCCGGCGGGAGGGCAGCTGCAAGGACAAGGGTCTCCGGGATGGTTCTCAGATGACTCAGCGGGATTGAGCAAGCCCAGGACACGCAGGGCAGCGAGGGCCGCTCTCAGCTCCCACCCCCACCGCTCTGACCCCCAGTCCCAGACTGGAGCTCTGCCGGCCCTTGTCCCCCTAAGTCAAGGGGGCCTGGGACTTCCCTGCCCTTTTCTGCAGGCCAAAGGCCACTGACCGTGCCTGCCGAGGAGAAACGCCGATTTTCCCAGGAAACCTCCCAGCCCAGCTGGGAGACCAGACCCGGAACATCCTCGCACGCACGTCTCCTCGAAAGAGGGCTTCTCGGGGGCAACGCTCCCTGGGCTGATCAGAACGAGAGCCGCTCCCAGGCCTGCGTTTCTCACCGCCGGTCCCACGCGGCAGGGTGTGCTGGGGGTGGGGGCCGTGAGTCACGGCCTCAGGGCCACTCGCACCCGCACACCGCACTGGCACCTGCAGTGCCCCCCAACCCCCCACCGGCAGCTGCACCTCGCGGCCAAGGCTGCCCCGGCGCCCAGTGGATGGAAGAGGCCGAGTGGGCCGGGACAGAGGCCACAGCCCCCTGGGCATCGGAGCCTTCCCCGCCCTGTCCTGGCCCCGCCACTCCTGCCCTGCAGGACCCGGGCGAGCTCCTTAACATCCGTGCTTGTGTCCAGTTCCACTGCAGCCGCTGGCCCCGCACCCGTGTCCCCTCCCCAGCCTGCCTGGCTGACCGGCACCATCTCCCATTTCACAGATGGCAGCACCGAGGCACAAAGGGGCCCTGACACAAAGCCTCCTTTGGGGGCAACACTGTATCTTTCAGACCCTCTCTCTCCACAGCCCTGAGTGGGGGCAGGTCCCCCTACCAGGAAGGAGGGGGACCCTCGTGACTCTGCCAGAACCATGATGGGGGGGGGGGCTCCGCCTGAACTCGTGTCCACCTGCTGCCCCCCTGCCTGGAGCACTCCTCCCGCACCTGGCACAGAGCCAACTCAGCCTTCAGGGCTCGGCTGGGCCGTGCCCCCTCCAGGCAGCCTACCCTGCGTCCCCAGGCTGTGGCCTCCCCACCCCGGGCCTCCCTGTCAGAGCACCCAGCCCCCAAAAGCTGTGGTCAGTGGCTCGCCCAGGGCTCCCCTGCGGGACTGGGAGCCCCTCCTGCATCCCAGAGATCACCCCTTTGCCGGGAGGGCAGGTTGTCGGCCTCACGGCCCTGCACCCCACTGCGGCACGGGGCCCTCGGCGCCCTGTGAGCACCGGCCTGCGGGGAGGGGCTGAGCCCACCCGCCCGCTGCGGTGCCCTCCAGCCCAGCCGCAGCCCGGGGCCAGCGAGGGGGCCAGGCCGAGGGGGCCTAGGTACGGACGGGAGCCCTTCCCTGCTGGTGCGGGCCGGCGAGGCCCAAGAACAGGGCTGAGGCTGCCGGGGGTCCTGGCTGGGCCGTGCGCTCGGGGAGCAGCGGGGGCCGAGGCTGGGCTTGCAGCCGCGTGACCATCGCGTCAAGACAGGTCCCTTCCGTTCCTCGCTCAGCCTCACCGGGCGCCGGCATGGGGCCACCATTCCCATTTTACAGATGCAAACACCAAGGGCCAGGGCCAGGTCGCGTCCGGGGATGGCGAGCCCAGGCTGGGCTGCCGCCAGGAGGTCACACCAGAGGAGGAAGCCCTGGCCGCGTGCATCCCCGGGGCAAGTGGCTGCCCTCCTGCTCCACTCTTTGCTCGCAGAGAGGAGCAGAGGCGGCGTCCGCGCCAGGGCGGCTGGAGCCGGCAGTGGGAGCCAGGACGGCGCTGGGACCCGCCCGGCACAGCAGCAGCAGGCGGGCACGGGCACCGCTGCTACCAACGGTCATCAGCTTGGAGAACCCCCGGCCGCCGCGCCCCGGCTTCCCGGCCCCCACTCACCCGGGCCGCAGACCGTGGACTTGATGCCTGTCTTCTCCAACACGGGGACGCGGTTCACGGCACCGGCGATGTGCTGGGTGAACACGTCCCAGTCCAGGTCGAAGAGGCCGAAGGCGAACTTGTCCGACACCTGCCGGAGCAGGGCAGGGCACCATCTCCTTTGGCCCCGAGACGGGCCGGCGTCCCCACGCCACATCTGCCCTCTGACGGCTGCCCAGACCCCCGGCCAGGTGGGGGCCAGGCCAGCCTGCCCTGAGTCAGGTGAGCCCGGGGGCTGGTCACCCGCAGGTCCCTGCAGTTTGTCTCCCATGCATCAACGGGGTGGGGGGGCCTGTCTGTCCCCTCCCCAGCCTGCCCAGCCCCCACCTGCTCGCCTTGATTGTCACAGTGGCCCCTGGCTGGTCACCCTGCTCCCCACCCTCCTTCAACCCCTCTCCTACGTCACACTGTGCCCTCCGTGCTTGGGAGCCCCCGGGCTCCCTGTGGCCTTCAACGCCCTAAGTGAGCCGGCCCTGCCCACCTGCACCGCTGGCCCTGCCACTCCGACCTTCCTGGGTCCCCTCCCTGGGAAAGCCCACCCGTCTAGAGGGCTTCCTTCCCAGCCGGTCTCTCCAGGCTGACCCTGCCCTGCTGACTGTGTTCCGTGCACAGCCGCCTCCAGAATCACGCTGCTTGGTTGTCTGTCTGTCATACGTCTCCCCACCAAAACACAGACACCCTGCAGCAGGGACTTTTAGTCTCCCTCTTTCTCCAGAAAGAGAAGCGAGCGGCATTTGGCTCAGGGTGGCCGCATAGTCCTTCGACTTGCGGACTAAATGCATCAATGCAGGGGGGGGCCCCGGGGCCTCTGTCCCGGAGCTGCCAGGGGAGCAGCCAGGCTGGGGGATGACGCCGCTGCAGATGGGGGTGGGGGAGGGCGCAGGGTCACCTGCCGGTGGACAGGGGACCGAAGTGTCCTTGTGACCTCAGCCTGCACAGCCTCCACCTGCGGGCGCTCTGGGGCAAAGCCCCCACCTGCCCGGTTCGGCTGCACCTGTGCGTCGTGTCGTCAGGGGTCAGAGCGAGACGGCTTTGGGCCTGGGGGGTTGGGGGGGGTGCACCTGCCGTTTCCCAGCTGTGCCCCGAGGAGCTTCAGGGCGGCGGGCTTCCTGGCAGAGGCCCTCTGCACGCTTGGACGCGGCCCCAAACCCCTCCCGCCGCCCAGCGCCCTCAGCTCCCGGGACGTCTCACCTCCTCCCAAAAGACGGGGTTGGCCTCGTAGCCACCCACAGACAGGGCGTCCCCCTGGAGGCGGAGGTAGACAGAGGCGTCGTGGTCACGGACGTTCGGCATGTTCTGGAAGGCAGACAGGGCAGCCCTGCGTCAGCGGGGCTGGTTCCTCGAGCCCGTGGGCCCAGCACCTCCGCCGGGGCCCAGGACAGACCCACGGCGCTTACTCCTTGCTTTAGGGCCCTGGGGACAGAGGGGACACGGCCCGAGCCACACACAGGGGAAAGACCGACCGCTGCCATTCCAGCCTCTGCTTCCCCAAATGCTGCAGCACAGCGGCCAAGGAGCGAGGAGGAGGAAGGCTGGATGGGGGGAGGGGTGCAGGAAGAGAGGGAGGGGGAGGGGAAGAAGAAAGTGTGACCCACAGAGACAAGGGACAGGAGACACACGGAGCAGGGGGGTGGGCCACGCTGGAGGATGTGGAGCAGGTGGAGTCGGGTGGAGCTTTAGCTCCCGTAAGGGGGAGTGGGAGGGAGACTGAACAAGTCCTCAGGCAATTTGCCCCCCTCCCGGGTCCCCTAAATATGCAGAGGCTGAGCTGTGGCCACCCCAGGTCCCTCCAGAGAGGATGACAGACGGATCTGACTCTGGGGAGGGAGCAGGCTGCCATCCCCCAACCCCAACGGCAGACCAGAGACCCCTCTGCGGAGACGGTGAGTGGCCCAGGGAAGCTGGAGACGCAGACACCGGTCCCTCACCAACGAGGAGGGCTTGCCCCAGGGACCTCCCCGGGAGGGCTCCAGTCGTGCCCTTCAAGCTGCCGATTGGCCTGCTGGAAACTCACTTTCCAAAGTGAAACTACAGCGAGACCTTCAGAGATGGGAGAGGGGAGGACGGGTCCACAAAACAAGGTGCTCTGAGAAAGGAATCCAAGGTCTTCCACTTAGATACGACAGTCAGAACGCAACAGAAGGGTCGGATGAGGCTGAGACCATCATCCAGCTATTAGGCTAGGAAAGATGAAGAACTGGACATTTGGAGGGGGAAGAATAAGAAAATCAGGTCAATCCTGAAAGTCCAACGTGCATCTCACAGGGTTCCAGAAAGAGAAAACAGAAAAACAGAGTTGAGGACAATGTCAAAGCTACAGTCCAAGAAATCTCAGATCCAAAACCACGAGTCTGTATGGACGTCCCTCGAGTGCCCGCCAAGCCCTGGCACTGGGCACAGCCCGTGCCCTGTGACACATCAGGACACCAGTGACCAGGAGGGTCACAAACAAAGTGACCACATGGCCGGAGGCTGGAGACATGGAGAACATCTTCAAAATCCCGATGGACACCGATTTTAAACGTAGAATTTCAGCCATCAGTCACGTGTGAGGAGAGAATGAAGACTTTTGCAGATGTTCACAGACATGAAATATTTACTTCCCACATGCCCCTTCTTAGCAAACCGCCAGAGAACTTGCTTGGACAAAAGTAGGAAAATCAACTAAGAAAGAACAAGCCACGGCTCACAGCAGACCCTAACAGAAGGGGTGAGAAGAAGGTCTCAGGTGACAGTTTAGGAACAGGTGGAGGTGGTCGGAGCAGGAGATATGAAGGCACCAGGAGGGAGTCCTGGGTGGGGGACAAGGTCTATCTGGTGCACGTGAGCATTCTAAAAACACAATCAGTAGGTGTTTGACGGAGTTATTGAAACATGGGGAAAAACGGTGCCAGTTATGAATACACATGCAAATAACCTCAACACAACATTAGCACAAGTGGAACCAGCCACGTGTAGAAGAGAGAGGACACCGTGACGGAGTGGGATTTGTCCAGGTATGCAAGGTTGGTTTAATGCATGAAAGCCAATCATGGTAACATTATAAATCATATCAACAGAGCAAGACACACAAAAAACAAAAAATCATTTCAATAGATGTAGGAAAAGCCTTCGACAGAATTCAACACCTTTCATGATAAAAACCCTCAACAAACACTCAGCAGACTTGGGATAGAAGGGAACCTCTTCACTTGACAAAGGGTATCTACAGAAGACCCGCAGTAACGCCAGACTTCGTGGAGGAAGACCGGCTGGTTTCCTCTAAGACCAGGAGCGAGGGCAGGACGTCCACTCTCCCCACTTCTGTTCAATGCTGCTTTGGAGGCTCCAGCCAAGGCCTCAGTGAGCAGCAAAAGTAATAAAAGGCATGTGTGTTAGAAAAGAAGAAGTGAAAAGATCCCTACTGACTCATAACATGATCTCGTATATAGAATCCTAAGGAACCCACTAAAAAAAAGTTACTAGAATAAAAGAGTTGAGCAAAGTTGCAGAAGATAAGTTGAATATACAAAACCAAAAAAACCCCAAAGAACCCTCATATTTCAATACACTAGCATTGAACTATGTGAAAAGGAAATTAAAAAAAATAATTCCATTTACATTATAATCACAAATAACAATACGTTTAGGAATAAATTTAACAAAAGAAGTGCAAAACTTGTACTCTAAGAACTAGAAAGTATTTCTGGAAGAAATTAGAGAAGATCTAAATAAGCGGAAAGGCAGCCATGCTCATGAACTAAAAGACACACTAATTATTATTAAGGTGACAACACACCCCAGACTGGTCTACAGATGCAACACGATCCCTATATCGAAATCCAGCTGGCTTTCTTGCGGAAACTGACAAGCTAATTCTAAAATTCCTACGGAAATGCAAGGGACCCAGAACATTCTAAACAACCTTGGACAGGAAGAACAAAGCTAAAGGACTCACTAGTTTCAAAACTTGCTGCAGAGCTACAGCAGACAAAACAGTGGAACTGATGCAAGGACAGACATCGGCTCACCAGACTAGAACTGAGAGCCCAGGACAGACCTTCGTATGGATGGTCGATTGATTTGCAACACCAGCGATAGAACAAGATAAAATAGTCTGTTCCGCAAATGCTGCCATGACAACCGGATAGCCACATGCAGAAGAACGAGGTTGGACCCCTTCCTCACGCCACCCACAAAACCTAACTCGAGATGGAGCCCGGACCTAACGGGGAGAGCTAAAACTACACATGTCTTAGAAGACGATTTTAGGACTAAATCTTTGTGGTCTTGGGTTAGAAAACATCTTCTTAAACATGACACCAAAAGCACGAACGACAAAAAGGGAAGAAAGACAGGTGAATGGGAAGTCGTGAAAGCGTAAAACTTGTGCCGTAAACAAAACCATAAAGAAAGCGAAAAGACAACCCGCCGCGCTGGAGGAGACGTTTGTGAGCGGAGTATCCGGTGGAGGCCTTGCAGCCAGAACGTGCACAGGGCTCCGACAACTCAGGAAAAAGGCAGAGGCTCTCCTGAAAGACAGGCAAAGGGTTGAGTAGACGTTTCCCCAAAGAAGGTGCCAAATGGCAACCGGCACAGGGAAGGATGCCCACAGCCAGCAGGTGGCCCAGGTGGATGCGACCTCACTTCACACCTTCTGTGACGCCTAGATAAGACAGACAGTAGCGAGACTAGAGAGGACCTGGGGACAGTGTGTCCCTGGTATACCACTGGCGGCAAAGCCGTGCAGCTTCTCCGGAGAACGGTACAGCGGATCCTCAAAATGCAGACACGGAGCTGCCGCGTGACCCGGCACTGCCACTCCTACGTACGGGTCCGGAACCCCTTGTCTGGAATTCCTGCAACCAGAAGCCTTTTGGATTGTGGATATTTTTCATATTTTGGAATATCTGCAGCACCCTATACTCACCAGTTGAGCAGCTCAAACCCGAAAAGCCGAAATCCGAAATATCCCTGCGAGCTCGCTTCCTTTGAGCGTCATGCTGGTGCTCAGAAAGGCTGGATCTGGGAGCACTTCGGATTCTGGATTTTTGGATTTGGGGTGCTCAGCCTATGTATTCTCGAGAGAAACGAAAGCACACATCCCCACAGAAATGGGCACGCTTACATTCACAGCAGCACTATTCGTAATAACCAAAAAGTGGAAACAACTCGACGTCCATCGACGGATGAACGGATAAACAGTGGCAAAATGCGCTGGATTTGTGCAACAGGATCCTGTTCGGCCGGCAACAGGAAGGTGGCGCTGACCCCGCAGCACCTGGGTGAGCCCGGGACGCTGCGCCGCGGGCAGAAAGCCAGACGCCCCGTGAGACTCCCTCCGTGTCAGACGTCCAGAGCAGGAACATCCGGGACAGGGCGGGGAGTGGGAACGCCTGGTAGCGGGTGTGGTCTGGGGTGTGAGGATGGCGTCGCACACACCCATAGTGCTCACACGTGTGTGCACACATGCACAGACACACACACGTGACGGTGACACAGGAAACCGAGCGGCTGGGAAACTGCGGGGAACGCAAAACGCTGGACGCGGCTTGCTCGGGAGGCAACAGTACTTCCTCAGCCATGTCTCGCACGCAGGGCTACCAACCTAACAGCAAACGGACAGAGCAAAACCACGCAGAAGGCAAGCCGGCGTGGGACGGGGCCGCCTGTGCGCGTGGCAATCACCCCTTCCCCACGCCTCCTCGCCGCCGCCGCCCCGGAGAGGAACGCGTGGGGCGTGACCCTGCGGCGTGCCGGCTCTGAGCGCAGACGGGGTGCCCGGCAGATGCCCCCTCCGGGCGCTGCGCCTCTAGAACGGGGCAAGAACACCTGCACTGGGGCACGGCTGTTGGGGGCAGGTTGACGTTCTTGGTAACTGAGCACCGGTTACAAATAACAAGCGACACTTGTCTCCACCAGCAACACTGCCCCAAAGCCCGAACAAAGCAAAGCCCCGAGCTCCCTGGAGCAGAGCAGTAGGGACACCTGGCGGCCAGGGAAGCCCCCGACATTTGTCCCAGCAGGACCGGTGTCCTGATGCTCCTGCCCTGGCACAGCCCCCGCTGCCTCCCAGCGCCCAGCGTGCCCAGCTCAGCACCAGGGTGTCCACCTGGCACCCGGGCTGCTCTCTCCACGTGGGGGCCACCCTGCTCTGGCTGCCCCCAGTACGGCCCTATGCCATTCACGTCCCTGCCTCCTGACCGCAGCCCGCTCCCTTCCATCTGTCCCTGATTCTCCCCCGCCCGCCCCAGCCAAGTCCCGCCTGATGGCCCCGCCGTCCTTGGCCTCTCCCGCCAAAGCTCTGGCCGACTGGACCGTTCCACGCCCTCGGCCATCGTCAGGGTCAAGCACAGCTGTGACCTCGTGTGCACCTGCAGCGGGCGGGCACCACGCTCAGCTGCCTCCCTCCACGTTCCCCTCGGCTCGGCCCTGTGCCGTAGGGGCAGTGATTGCCCGTTTTGCAGAAAAGGAAACTGAGGCTCAGAGTGGTGACTGCACTTTTCTGGGCTGGGCGATGGAGGGGTCGACATTCAAATCCAGGGCCCGGGCTCGTGCCCACCACTCTGCCCTGGGATAGAGCTGCCACCCTTGCTTGGAGGACGGTTGCCATGGGAAACAACTGAGAGCCTGAGCCCACCTGCCTTAACGGAGGCAGAGACCAGAGAGGGAAGGGAGTGGGGACAGAGCGCTGGGACCAAGGCCCGGGACGGCTCTCTCTGAACGGAGGACGCTGGGGCCACAGCCCTCTGGCTGCCCCGGAGAAAAATGGACAGCGTGTGAGCCCCGAGCCCTCCCGCGCCGGCTGGAGCCCCCACCCCCACGCTGGGAGGTGGCGTCTGGTCTGGGCAGACAGGGTCCCCCAGCACAAGGCCACCAGCCAACAGGGAGGGGCGGCACACCCAGGACAGACCCCCTGGCTAGGGGCCCTGCCCGGGCACGGCGAGCTTGTTCTCTGGCTTGTGCAGGGGTCAGACCGCGGAGGTGGGCAGGTCAGGGCCAGAGGCCGCTGCCCTCCCAGACTCAGACTGACTGCCCACCGCAGCCTCCGCAAGCGCCAACTTCCAGGCACCTGCTCGTGGCCTGTGGCCATAGGGGAGCTTGTGGGACTTTTCCCGAAGCCCCAATCTCCAATCTTCTCCTACCGAGTCTCGGAGCATCTGGGGCTCCAGAGATTCATAGCCCTTTCCTTGTGCCCAGTACCCAGAGGCACACAGGGACCCCGAAAGGGCTTTGCAAATAGCACCCCCAGCTGGGCTCTGACTTTGAGATTTACGGAGGGGGCAGCTGCAGAGGCCCGGGCTGAGCGCTGGCTTCTTCCCTGAACCGTGCCTCCCAGGCAGGAGTTAGGGGAGAGTCCAGCACTGGGGCTTGGAGCCGCAGCCCTGGGGTCCGTGGACACCCTGTGGCCGGGCTCCCTGCAGCCCCGTCCCCAGGACTCAGCCTCTGCCCCGCCCTGCCGGAGCCTGCTGCGGTCTGAGGGCGACCCCTCGCGGCCACCTGGGGGAGCGGCTCTCCCCACGGACACCACGGAGGCCTCAGTGCTCGGCCTCAGGCAGCGAGGTCGTGCTTTGCCCTGCGTACCCAGCCGTGTGCCAGCGGCCCCCCGTAGGCGTCTGCTGGACATCGCACTTGCTCTGTGATGGGGACTGCATCCAGGGGAAGGGGCCAGTGGGGTCCAGGCACCCTGCTTTGCTGGGCTGGCCCTAGCGAGGGCAGGCTCTCACACTGTCCCCACCCCACAGCCTCAGCCCTGCCTCACCTGGATGTGGCCTCCTCCTCCTGGAGCCACCCTGGTCCACCAGGGCTGGGGTGTCCCATCAGAGCCCCTGTGAGCACGACTTGGAATTGCCTGTTCACTTGCCTGCACCCTCCCCACCTCTCGTCCCGTCACGGCCACGGTTTCTAGAACACAGCCTGGAACACGGAGCTCACCCGGTCGCCGCTGGCTGGGGAATGGGAGGGAGGCTGGGTGGAATGGTGGGAAAAAAGGTCCAAAAAAGCAAGAAGGAAGGAAGGAAGAAAGGAAAACCCGGAAACGGCCCCCCAGCCCTCAGGCCATGGCTTCTCAATGACGTCCAAACCAGTCCCCAAGCCTGTCCTGCGTGGTGCAGCCAGCCGAGCTTTTAGCCACGCTCTGTGCCCAGGAGTTTCAGAGACCCCTGCATGATTGCATGCTCCCAAATGTGCCAGGTGCCCGTCTCAGAGGGCACCGATTCCCAGCACTCAGAACCTCTCTGCGAGCCCTCTGCCAAGGGAGGCCAGGCGCCCAGGTGCACCTGCCGGCACCTGGGGCTGGGCGCCTCCTGCCCCCTCTCCTCTCCTGTCCTCCTCGGCTGCGGTGGTGGCTAGGAGCTTCCTGCCCGCCGGCCACCGGCCCTCCCCCCATCCGTCACACGACCATCCTTGCTCCTGCCTCTCTGCCCAGCCCTCCCCCATCCATCCATGTCTCCATCCGCACATTCCTCCTCCCACTCACCCCCTGGACCCTGCCTCCATGGACTCACCCGTCCTCGCACTCCCTTCCCTCCATGCATCCTGCCATCCTTCCATCCACTCATTCCTTCGGTCCCTCCGTCCATCTGTCCATCCACTTATGCAGCTGTTCCCTCTTCCGTACCTCCTTCCGCCCACCAACCTGCACATCCTTCTAGCTGTCGATTCACCACCACCCCTTCTACCCACTTCACAGCCGAGGTGACTGAGGCTCAGGGCACTGAGGGAACCCAGGAGGGTCACGCCACCTGTATGTGGCCAAGCTGGGTTTCAAGGCCAGGTTCCTGCACCACCACCACGCCCCCCTGCCCAGCCTGACACAGAACCCGGGGCCGTCCACCTACCTGGATCCCCTCGATGCGCTCCGTGACGACGTAGGCATGGTGCATGGCCACCAGCGGGACCTTGACTCCAGCCATCCGGCCCACGGCGCTTGCCCACACCCCTGCAGGCAGAGCGCAGCCGGCTCAGCTCCCCGGGCACCTGCTGGGGGCTGCCGCCCAGCTGGGCCTAGGGCACCTCTGCACACCTGTCTACCTGGCGGAGACTCCCTGACTCAGAGAGAGGCCCTGCAGAGGTGGGGCCAGGTTCAGGGGGCAGCCGGCGCGGCCACCCGGGAGCCAGGAGAGACGCCATTCCCACCTGCACAGTTGACCACGCAGGGTGTCTGGATGGAGCCGTGCTCCGTCTCCACGGCCGTGACCCGCCGCGCCCCGAAGTCGTCTGTCCGCACACGGATGCCAGTCACCGGGCAGTTCTCAATGACCTGGGATCAAGAGTGACCACTTCTAAAGCCACACCGGGCTCCCTGGGGGCAGCGCTGGCCACCTACCCTGAGCAACCTCCCCTCCCGGCTGGGACCCGAGGACACTGTCCTGCTAGCGGCAGTTCTCACGGGATACTGCCGGGAAGTGGGGTAACCACAGCGCCAGAAAGCCGAAATCCACCTGTAACTTGACAGGGGAACCTGCCACAAGTGGGAAGACCCTTTCCCGTTATTCGAAAAGGTAGCCGGCTTTCTTTTTTTAAGCAAGACGTTTGATTAACGAAAAGACGTCTGGGGTCTACTGTTCGTTCCTTTTATCTATAAAAAAGTCCACAAACCATGAAGACCTTGGTTGCGTGTTGCACACACACACACACCTTCACAGAAAACAACGTGTGGAGCGAAACACGCTAAAATGTCAATACTGGCTACTGCTGGGTGATTTTCACTGTTTTTTTTTTTTTTTTTGTTTGTTTGTTTGTTTGCTTATTTGTCTTCTTTTTGCTTGTTTCAAATTATTTTTTACAACAACTACCTGTTTAATTGGGACAAAGGGAGATAACAATTGCAAGAAGGGACTTTAGGGGGATTCACTTGTGCGGCCAGAGTCTGACCCAGGGCAAGGAGGCGGGAAGGGGCTGCACCTGCGTACCAGACTGAGGCCTCCAAACGGACCCCAGGCACGGCCTCCCCTTTGCAGGAGAGGATCAGAGGGCCCAGAGAGGTCCTGACCGGCCCAGGGTCACACAGCACTCAGAGAAAGCGCCTGCCCTCTTGCCTTGTGCTCCCGGGGCTCCTCCGCGGGAGGGCGGGCTGGGAGCAGGGACGGGAGCCGCGGGTACCTGTGCTCCCCGGGCAGACGCGGCCCTGGCCAGGGCGGTGCAGGTGCCCGCGGGGTCCATGGTGCCGTCGTGCGGCACGTGCAGGGTCCCGTAGAGGTCGTCCACGTTCATCAGCGGGTACAGCGCCTTGGTCTCCGCGGGGCTCAGCACGTGGGACTCCACGCCGTAGGCCTTGCCCAGCTGGGGATCCCGGGAGATTGACCGGCTCATGGGGAGCATGGCCGAGGGCCCCTCCCTGCTTCCTCCCAGGAGCCCCCCGGGGTCCCCACGCCCAGGCTGAAGGAGGGTTTCCCAAGCTCGGACATGTGTGGCCGGGGACCCGGGCAGGTGGCCACCACCCCTCCTCCGCGCTATTATGTCATCCACAGGAGCGCGGGCGGCACACGGTCCGTCATATGAAATAAGCCACCCACAAGCCCGGGAGTCAGACTGGTCATCATGTTCCGGTCACCGAGCTCCGGTGACACCAGCCTGGGCCTCAGTTCCAGGTAGACCACGCCCCACTGCACTTGATTGGCGCAAGCACAGCCAATCAGCGTGGCCCATCAGGACAGGCTCCGCCTATCCAGGGATGAGCTTGGCCAATCAGGTTTTTTGGGGAGTTCCCAATGAAGGGTGGCAAAGTCACTTGCTCCAGGTGGCCCAGCCAGCAAGGATGGAGCGGGAGTTGGAACCCAGATCTGTCACCTGTCGGGCTCCTTCCCCGGGGAGCGCACCCACGGACGAGCCCCCACCAGGGAGCACACTCCCAGACAAGCCCTCACCAGGGAGCGCACCCCCGGACGAGCCCCCACCAGGGAGCGCACCCCCGGACGAGCCCCCACCAGGGAGCGCACCCCTGGACAAGCCCCCACCCCCCGGTGCACCCACCGACATGAGCCTCTTGTACTCGTCCAGGCGCTGCCGGTTGGACGCGATGAAGAGGCCCCCGTTCTGGATCCAGCCGGTGTGCAGCCCGGTCTCCTCCTCCAGCTCGCGGCTCACCACGCGCCGCGTGTGCGCCAGAAGCTCCACCTCCACGTCGCTGGGCCGCAGCTGCCACAACAGGCCTGGCCCGGGACGGAGGAGCAGGCGCGTCAGCCCCCAGTCCCCAGGGAGGGGAGCTGCACCCCTTCCCCACCCCTGCAGCATAACCCGCAGCCCCCGGGGAGCCCAGAGAGGCTGCTGGGCAGGAAATGACTGGGTCAAAGCTGAACGTTAGGGCGGCCCCCACCCCTTGAGCGGACAGTGAGGATGTCCAAGCTCCCACTTATGGAGCACCTGCTGTGTGCCGAGCCCAGGGCTGAGCCTGTCCCGGGTGATGTCACCGAACCTATGGGGAGGGGGCCGTGATTATTTTACAGATGAAACGAAGGTGGCACCAAAGGGCTCTGCCCCACAGTCACAGAGCAGGTGGGCAGTGGGCAGTTCACCCCACATTTCTGTTCTTCATGACAAAGGGTTCCCTGTGCAGCGGCTGAGTCTGGGAAGTGAGGCGGGGGACATGGCTGGGGTCACGTCAGGGGAGAGACTACGTGAGCCAGGCTACGGCGGGCGCCAGTGGGCAAGCGCAAGGCTCGGAGGCAGCAGAGTGTGGACCAGCCCGCGTCTCTTGCGCTAGTGGGCGTGCACCTCTCCCCGGCTCCAGGGCCAGCATGCGCCACGATTTCATCCTCGGGGCACCCCCAGGAAGAGCAGCCGCCGTGCCCAGCTCTGCTCGGAGGCCGGGGGCAGCTCTGCCTGTGCAGGGGGACTGGCGGGGTCGGCCCTGGCCGGCCTGCGGCAACCCCGGCCCCCGTTGTCAGCCTCTTGTAGTCTGGCGGATTTATGATCTTATTTGTTTTTTTCTTGGCGGATGCCGACCCCGACAAACTTCCTGGTTCTTTCTGTTGTATCAACGAGCCTGACGGAGCGGTGTGACCAGGCCTGGTGGCCGCGCCGTTCGGGTGGTGCAGCACCCCAGCGCCACCGCCGCCAGGGAGGGGGGCAGGCCCCGGTGTGGCAGTCCTGGTCCCCTCGGCCGCGGGGAGAGCACAGTGCCCCACCCCCAGGACCCGCCACACCTGTTGCCCCACCCTCCCCAGCTACCCGCACCAACCCCACCGCCCCATACCATTCCCCAGCAGCTCCGCGCGACCCCCTCAGCACCCCATCTCCCGGCCCTGTACAGCTAACACACCCCATCCCCCTACAGCACGCCCCCATCCCCCACAGCACCCATCCCGCACCAGTACCCCCATCCCCGCAGACTGGAACCCATTCCCTACAGCACCCCATCCCCCACTGCGATACCATTCGCCCCAGACACGCCCATTCTCCCAAAGCACCCCACCCCTAACAGCACCTCATCCCGCGGCCACAGCACCCCATCCCCGCAGCACCCCATCTACAGCACCCCATCCCCGCAGCACCCCCATCGCCCACACCCCTCCCCCCGCCTGAGGCGCCGCCCATCGAGGTGATGTGCTCCAGGAGGAGGGACTGGCCCGCTGGACCGTGCCCGTGCACCGGCCGTCCCGTGGCAGCAGTGAGCTGAAGCCCGCGCCGCGTTCTGCACCGACAGCGGGAACCCACGGCGGGAGCAGGAGCTGCTGGACAAGGTTTGAGGCATCTGGGATCAGGACCTGGGGGCTCCTGCCACAAAGGGAGCAGAATGTGCCTGCCGGAGCAAACCGGTCAGTGCCGTCCTCCCTGTCCCTGCTCGGGCTTCTCCGCTCCACGCCCCCCGGGTGTCCAGCGGCACGGCGCCGCGCGTGTCCGGGTTCAGGCCGGGTGTCCAGGGCCGGGGTGTCCAGGGCAGGGGCCGGGTGTCCAGGGCAGGCGGGCTGTCCGGGGGCAGGCCGGGTGTCAGAGGTCTGCGGTGTCCGGGCAGGCCGTGTGTCAGCGGTTCTGCCGGTGTCCGGGGCAGCCTGTGTCCAGGGTCCACCGGTTCCGCGGGCAGGCGGAGGTCCGGGGCAGGCCGGTTGTCTGGGTCAACCCAGGTGGTCCGGGCAGGCCGGGTGTCTGGGCGCACCAGGTGTCGGGGCAGGGGCCGGGTGGTCAGGGTCTTGCGGGTGTCCGGGGCAGGCCGCGGGTGTGCGTGGGCAGGTTCGGGTGGCCCGAGGCCGAGGGCTGAAGCCGTTCTGCGCCCCTCGATCGCCTGCAGAGGTTGCGACAGTAGGGCCGTCGGCAGCTTGCAA